TTTTAAAAAAATAAGTCTTCTAAGCTGTATAAATAATGTAAAATTAAATGGAATTTATTAGCAATCAGACTAACTTCTGCCTATGACAGTTAATGAGAAGATTGGGTTCTAAGTATTTATTGAATATTTGTTTTATTAATAAATTATTATATTAAATAATGAAGTTAATCATTGAAATTATTATATAAGTTCCTTGCTTGATTTATGATTCAGTAATAGTAGCTGGTATATCGTTTAATATGTTCAAGCAGCAAAGAGACTAAATTTACATAAGCAAATGCATATCTACGTACCTTAGCAAATACAACTGTAGTATATAGGCATAAGGCTTTCAATAGGGCTTAGCCAAAATAATAAGGCATAAAAATAACAAAATTAACGGGAAACATGATTTCAACCAATTACTGAATTCGTTTTAACTTAATTAAATTATTAGTACCACATAATTAATGCCATTAAATTCCGTACAATAATTATTATTATCAGTCACGCCTCATATTATATTAAGAATTATATAATTACGAGGAAGTTGTTTTGATGATCCCACATATAGATACAAATGAGTGGTGTCAAGGGAAAAGAGCATCTCCGTTTTTTAATCAATTATTGATTCAATAATTGATTAAAAAACGGAGGTGCCCTTTTCCCTTGGCAGCACTCAAATACAAGAACAACCAAAAATATCGACGTACCACAAGCCATAAAAGGCAAAAACAACCAAACAAAATTGAGTAGTGGTAATAAATAAATCTGTCACGCCAGTCAGATCCCTTTTAACGCAAACATACAATAGGTTTAGTGTTCACGTCAAATCTAAGCCATAATAAATAGAATATTTATTAATGTAAATATATTCAAAAACAACCAATCAGATTACACTTCTATATACACAAAAACCGTATAACACAGGGGATTTGTTTTTATTGATAATAAATCCCATTATTGGTCACGCCTCATATCAAATTATTACAAACTTTGCACATGACTCTGAAACAAAATTCTTTCGCTACGATTTTTACATTTCGACCTTTGCCGATCACTGATTATCATTTAATCTACCCGGCAAAAAAAGCGTGAAAAAAAAAACAAAAAGATGTAAAAAATCGAGAAATACTCGTTCACAAATTAAGCCAACCATTCAAAAATAATAAATACGGTCAAATTTTTGTATCCAATACATAGTGATCAACACACTGTATCTAGAATCTACAAGTAGTATCTACATGCAGTATCTACATGTAGTATCTACATGTAGTATCTACATGTAGTATCTAGTATCAAAGTATATATAAAAAAGGAGGGAGTAGATCCTTCCTTTTATATAATTACAAGGAAGTTGTTTTGACGATCATCCGGTCAAAATCAAATAGATACAAATACAAGAACGACCAAAAATATAAATGTACTACAAACCATAAAAACCATAAAAGGCAAAAACAAACCAACAAAATTGAGTAGTTGTTAATAAAAATATTGTATTAACTTTATCAAATTACGTTTATTATTTAAATATTTATCACAATGACAAACACACTTGACGCTTAAAATATTTTTCGCCAAGTAAAATTTATTCACTGACTCGTTTGACCCATTGATTAAGGCGAACAGACTTGACCTATTAAAATTGGTTCCGATTCTAGTTTTCTTAACCTACCCAGTATCACCCAAAAATCAGATCCTGTCAGAATAATTAAAAATTAAATAGCAGTGCTCTGATAAGTTGATATAAGTCCAGCTGGTCAAAACCTTCAATATATGGAAATATTTGGATATCAGAAGGATGTTCGAACGTATTTTCGTCACAACAAATTTTTCGCTAGATCATAACATTCATTATGTAAAAATTCGTTATCTCGAGTTTTGACTTATGTACAAAACAAAAAACGAACCTCGATATTTTTTATTTTCATTACAAAATATTATTTTTTATGAAGACAATGCAAAAAAAGATATTTTCTTAAACGATATAATTTATTGATTGTACTGTACATGCAACTTCAAATTTATCATGGGTGGTTAAAGCCTGATTAAAAATTGTTGCACTTCTAATCTTTCCTGTACAATTTCATTTACATAATTATCTGCACATTCTTGAAGTTTTTTAAGATGCCAAATTAATTTCATTATAAGAATTAAGGATATTCTATAGAATAGGTGGGCAAACTCCGCCAACTCCGCAACTCCGATATTAAAAAATTAATGATTACTAATCATTAGCGAAGCTTATTTCTTATATTGCCCACCTATTCTATAGAACATCCATTTACCGATTTTTACATATATAATAAGATTAATTAAATTCATTATGAGCATTATAAAATCAAAATACTGTACCATAATTGTAATGGGCTGTCGGTGAAATGGTTGTCAGCGAAATCTACCAAAACCACTTTAGGACGTTTGTGTAGCTATTTCTATATGAAGTAAAAATTATTATTAATGATTCATACGTATACGTGGATGTTTATTTCATCGATATTTTTTTGAAAGATAAAATTTTCATTATACGAATAATTTCACATGATAACGATATGATTGGTGCGATTTACTGTATCGTTATCGTTAAAAATTTTCTAATTTGGGGAGATGTTATTAGGGGAGTTCATATCGATATTCAAGTTTATATCATGACATAAGATAAATTTTTTTGTGTTACCAACGTCTCGGAATTATGCTTTTGACACAAAAATTTAATGTTACAAGAGACATTTTGATAATGGCAATTATTACTCAAAAAAAGTATCACTAACCTAGAAATCTTTTAAGATCTCCAAGCTACGTATTTGACAATGTTCGTAAAATCTTTTAACTGTTAAGATCTCCAATCTATGTCTTTGACAATGTTCGTAAATTCTTTGTTGGATCTTACATAGTACGATTAGGTATGATTACGTATTAATCATCATTGAACCCCCACTTATGACGTATCGACATGAGTGTCGCTAAGGGAAAATCGGAAATTCTAAAAATAGATTTATTTGAATGTCATATTTTTATATTCTATCGATATGCTGTAATTCAGCCCTTGATTTCTGTAAGTTTTCGCCTATCGCTATCGTTATTAGAGATGGTGCGTATTTTTCACCAACTTAAAAGAGGAGATATCAATATATATATACAGGTTTTTAGTTACGTAATAACGATAAGATAAAAAATGATTATGTCAAACTATCAGATAAGAAAACATCCTTATCTATATTAATATGACATATTGTACCACATTTATTAATCGCCGATAAGCCAAAAATATACAGCCAAAAGTCTTAAATAAGGTTGTTAAATCACGCGTTGCTCGCGTGTTGCAAATAATGCGTTGATATATAAAGTGTATAGTCAAGCCTTGGATTCACGTCCTGGAGGGGATCGATTATCTTTGCCTAGCATTTAGTCTTATTATAATGGAATCTTCAGAACTGTCTTTAACCTTTTCAACATTATTACTCGCTACATGTGAGGTAATTTCATATTAGTTTTTTAAATTTTGCTTGATTCTTTCATTTTTCTGATTTTTGCGCGTAATCAGTCATGTGCTTATGTAGTCGGCATGGTTTTCATTGGATATTCAGGAGTAAGGTGTGGTATCTTTACTCCAACGATAAAAAAGGTTATTTTTTTTCATTTATATTTCTCATTTAGTCGATATTCTACTTTTATGAACATAATTTGGATTCTTTCATTTTTTTTCAGATACTTGCGAAACTAGTTTTGAATCTATTTCTTCCTTGTCTCTTATTCTCTCAAATCGGAGGTACCATAGATTCATCAACGATAGTAAACATATGGCCATTACCTGTATTCTGTGTGTTATTTGCAATATTAAGTGGATTTCTTGGGAATTTCGGTGGAAATCTATTAAACTTATCACAATCAAGAAAAAAATTTATAATGTCTGCCATAATATTTAATAATATCACGGCAGTGCCTGTGGGATTTATTAAAGCTTTTGCCTGCACAAATGCTATGCAAATTTTTGAATCAAAATTTGGCGAAACTCTACAGGACACGAAGTCGCGTGGGATCACCTATTTGTTGTTATCTACTCTTTTCGTTCTAATAATTAGGTTTGTATCTTATCAGTTATACTAACTATATATTTTATACGTTATCTTTAAATTAATGAACAAAAAAAAAAATTATGATAACTTTAATTAGACCTTTTGTGGAGCTATTTCTTCCCAAAGATGATCCCATAGACACATCAAATCACTCCTTATTGCCAAGTCAAATTTCCATGACTGAACCAAGAACATTATTCACGCATTTCAATCATGCCAATTTTACAGAAGAAACTCCGTTATTATTAGTTTTGAAAGGATCCTCTTCACTTTCCCGTGAAACTCTTTACCTAATGAAAGTTAAACATATATTATCAAATATAATATCGCCACCAGTATTTGCTGGATTATCAGCTCTGATAATTGGAACAATCCCAATGCTCAAATCGAATTTCTTTGATTCGGAATCTCCTCTGTACATATACATCACGGCAAACATGGAACATATAGCTGTACTTACTGTCCCAATGACCTTAGTTTCTATCGGCACCCAAGCTGGATGTGCTAAAACTTTGTTTTTAAAATGGAATTTACATAAACCTGTAGCTTATGTAATAATTTGTAGATATTTAATCATGTCTATCGTTGGAATAATAGTAGTTCTAGGGTGTAAATTTATTGCTAAAGATTTGGATTGGTTTATAATCAATGATCCGATGTTTATATTCGTGGCAATGTGCTTAGCGTGTGGACCAACTGCTATTGATCTTTTTGATTCACAAGATGAATTATTAATTTTAACATATAATTCTTATATTTTACTATCTCCAGTTATTTGGTTCACTTTGATGGGGTTGTTGTCAATTACTGCGTATAATGTTGGAAAATTCGCTATTGCTTTATAAAATGTATATTTACTGTATATGAGATGACTTTGAATAAAATAATATAGAATTAAACATATTAATTATGTACAGTCGCCAATAAAGTAACGATATAGTTCTCGAAACAAAATCGATAGAAATCATTACATATAAAAACTTTTTTTTATTAACTAGGTTTAGCATATTTAAGTAAAAATATTCTGCGAAATAAAAATGGTACGCACAGTAAAATTTTTACCAATTAGCTTTACTATTTAAACATTTTATGATATTTAATTAATTAAGCCGAAATCTATAAAATATTTTGTTATACAACCGAGTTTAAATATTATATGGTCAGAAACAATAACTGTATATTGTACCCTTGAAGTTGAATCCAATATGAATTAATAAAGCTAGTCTTTACTATACGTAACGTATCCCACATAGGGTAAAGTCCCAAAGTCAGGCCAAAACCTGACCATCTGTCAAATATTTTGAGCAAGATATTTCTGGCACCGTTCATGTGTCCTGATCCATCTCCACCTTGCATAAATCACATTTGAACGTTTTTGATCCTCTGAGATCATTCTTCATGAACCCACAACTCCCGCATGTCTTGCAAATATTGAATTTCCTTGCCTTATTCTATAAAAACATCCAGAACCTGAAATGCAACCAAGTTAGCATCATGCAAGCAATTAATTTTTTTCTTGTTCTTCAAAACCATTTTTAAAGATTCAAATTTGGGTAACAGAATAATCTTGTAGTTCATGCACAATTATCTTGTAAGCTGGTAATGACATTTATCTATCAAATTATAGATTTGTTGTATAATTTATAGCATTTTTTTCTCAATTAAAATCTTTTTTTTTTGCTTGTTTATTCCAAAGCAAGATTCTTGTTATTTTATAATTTGTTGTATTTTTTGAACAATTTAATGCTTTACTAAAATCACTATTACTTCTAGTGTTTTTATATTTAGTTCAGTTCAATTTAGATTCAGGTTCAGGTTCAATTGAACCTGAACTAAACTTTAAATTTTGCAGATTTCTGAACCTAAATCTAAACTAAACTTAAATTTATAAATTTGAACTAAATCTGAACTCAAATTTTTAGATTAGTTTAAGTTTATAAATATGTTCAAGTTCAATAAATTATATATATTTTTATATATAGACCAAAATTATTTTTTTTAGTATTAAGGTGAGGCCTTGCTTGTATCTTTATTAATTTTATTAAGAAATAAATGTCACAGATTAAAATGAAATCTGATTAAAATGAAACTGAGGACCTCTCATACCCACCCTTAGAGCCTATAAAACCCACATATACTCATTTATTAATAAACCTAACCCTAAACCCTACCCCTAATGCTAAAAAGAACCCCAAAAAATGTCTCCCAAAAAATTTTAAATTTTCCTTAAAAAACAGAAAAATTTCGTTTTGATCAGATTTTGTTTTAATCTGTGACAAGAAATAGTAACTATCTAAATAGTTACTACAATTTGTATTAGTATAAAAATAAATAAAATTACATTATAAGAATAAAAGCTCAGACTAATTTATCTGTGATCTAAATCTATTAAAGTAGTTAAAGACTCATTTAGATTGTAAAAGTAAAGATAAAGTTTGAAGATATACTATATTTAACCCAGTGAATAAACTAGGTATTTTATTTTTCTTATTTGACCAACTGGTGGACAAGTATTTGAATAAGTAAGTAGTTGATTTAGTTTTTTATATAAACAAAAATATGAATAGGTTATATAAATGTGTTTAGTTACTATATTATTATTCAACCCCAAATAATTCATTCTGCTCTTCTTGCAAAAGCAACCCCAAAGAAATTTGAGAAAAAGATTCATGTTCAGGTGTAGCTTGTCTTGATCATTCACCATTAGAAGAATGTCTGTGAGTTCATTATTCATAATTAATTCTGCAGAATTATAACTAGAGCTGCCTTGCTCAAAATCATTCTATTTGAATAGAATAAATAATTAATATTAATGGCACTTTTGTAATAAATGATTAATTATTAATACTTACTAAATATTTATTAATATAACGCAAAATCTGTTCTTCTTTACATAAAATATTTTTTGATCATGGATTTAGGAGAATATCGTACATAGTCAGTGCAAATACATAATGATAGATGGTTAAATTTGAGATAGTGGCTATACTAAAAGCTATTCTTGCAATTATACTGATCCAAAGGAGACCTTCATCGTTTTATTCAAAAAGAGCATGATAACAAGCTTGGACTTGTGTACTTTGCTTCTATATAACTATATCATCAGGAGCTGTGTTGTTTTTAAGTGATAGTAACTTCTCACAACCAAAGCAGAGCAAATGTTTTATAACAGTGAACTATGATGGTTCTTCTTTTGCAAAAGCTGTTAAAAGATAATTAAAAATTAATGATTAAAATACAAATATGTAAATGATTAAAAATTATAACATTAAAATACAAATATGAAATAATTAATAACAATTAATAATGATTAATAATATACTAGTTGAATATAAGAAATTTAACCACCAAATGAAATAGCTAAATCAATCTAAATTCGACCATCTAATATTTGGCTAATATTATACTAAATGATAGAGTAAATTGGTAGCTAATAGACAGTCAAATACTAATAAAAAATCAGCAGCCAAATTCAGGTCAAAAATTTTAATTGATAACCAATTGACATAATAAAATCAACCTATAATTGACGACTGAATATTATAAAATTCAGAATAAATTCAGTATAAATTTGATGGCTGAATTCAGGTTGAATCAGCTATTTCATTCAGTTGTTGATTAATTACAATAAATCAACTTATAATCAACCACTAAATACTTATAAAATTCAAAATAAAATCGATATAAATTTAATGGCTAAATTCAGGTTGAATCAGCCATTTCATTCAGTAGTCAATTAATTACAATAAATCAACTTATAATTGACTACCAAATACTAATAATTGACAACTGCTTACTAATAATATTTGGTATAAATTCAATAGCTGAATTCAAGTCAAATTGGCTATTTCAATTAATTGTCGATTAATAATCGATAATCGATTACATTCGTACAAATCGAATTCTAGATAATTTTAATATATTATAAATTTATTAAAACAAATTAGATACAAATTTAAGAAAAAAGAAAAAACTAAAAGTAAGAAAAAAACAAAAAAAAAAAGAAAAAAAAGCGAATAAAATTTGAAAAAAAACAAAAAAAGAATAGAAGAAAAAAAATTTAAACACTTAGTTTTCTTGAAGATTCCTCTATAGTATAAGAAGCTGGTCTTTTATCACAACTTCTGGCACTCCTCCCTTTGTTATCATCACCCCTCCATTCACCATCATCATCAAAACTCTCATCTTTATCTACTTCTAACTTATCCTCTTCTTCCTCTTCCTCCTCTTCCTCTTCTTTCTCCTTACTCATATTTTCATCATTATTATCATCATCACCATAGCTCAATTAGACACATTATTAGGTCGAGGAGCCATCAACATATATGAGCTTTGATAGAGACATTTGAAATGAAATTGCAAAGCCATATCAAGGACACCATGCAACAAATCGGTTAACTATTAAAATAAATATGTAAATAACAAATTAATTAAATTAGTATTCTTGTTATCATCATTTGACTGATGTTTGGTATATCAAATGATATACTATATATATCATTTGATATACAGAACATCAGTTGAATAGTGGTCGAATTTTTGCTAGTGTAATAGGAAAAAAAAAATTTTATATCTTTTTTGATTTTCAAGCCAAGCCATGGACTTAATATACAGATGACCTCTTTCATCTGTTTCTTTACTAGGGTCTGACATTTTAGATGAATAGATGACATTATTCGCCAAAACTTTCATTAAATCATCTATATTAAAGCTGAAAAGTTGATTATCCTTTTTTGAATAAAGGTACTTGAACACTGAGACATTTTCTGTAAAATTAAATCAAAATATTGAAAACTAAAATTTAGTAAATTATAACTTAAAATCAACCTAAATTCAGTTAGGTCAATTTTTTATGATATAAAATCGATCTAATTGAATTTAGATCGATTTTAAGTTATAATTTATATAATATAGTTTTTGTGGATATGTTTGTCAAAATAGATACTTCGGGTTGGATCCTGATGTATACCTGGCTATTATGATATAATTTAAGACACTATTACAACATGTTGGCCAACTCAGTATAATTAGTGCCATATTTCTCTCTCAAAAGCTTGACTAGTATAGAGATCATATTTTGGCTTAGTCGATCTTTTTGTTCATTCTATTTCAACTTGTAGTTAAGGCCAAAATCTCCACCTTTTTCATTGAGAATAAAGAAGAGTTCACTCTATTAATAATAAATTAATTTTGATTTAAAAAAAATAAATATAAATATTTGTCGAATATAATTAATTACAGCATTAATATTAATAGTTTTAAATTTTTAAAAAAATAAAAAAATTATATATATATGCAAAGTGCTTTTCTTCTAGACCTATTATTTTCAAAACCAGGTTGATTTGCTACTCCTTTGTTGCTTGGAGAAGCAGACCTTATTTGTGCAGACCTTCTTTATACAGCTATGGCTGATGAACCTTCAGCTGCACTTTCTCCTAGCTATTCACTCTAACCCAAAGCCTAGTAGCTTAAAATTTGTAAAGCTTCGATATCCTCAGCGAGGGTGGAATAGAAACTTTGAAGAAGTTGGACTATATCATCTAGGTTAGTGATTTGAATTGAAAAAAATTTCCTTAATCGGTTAACCGAACCGAATTATTTCATTTAACCGATTGCCAACCGGTTAAGATTAACTATCTACTGCCATCAGAAATTCTCAGAGCTTTACTTTCTTGTCTTTATATTCATCAAAATTTTTTAGACTCCTTATGTCATTTTCATATTATATCTATTCTGCTAACCAGTTGTATCGGGTCAACCGATTAAGAATTTCCTTAACCAGTTAACCAAAAATTATTCAGTTTAGGTCAATTAACCGATTATAGCCCAATCGATTCAAATCACT